CTTGGGGTTTGAGGTGAGACAGAACATCATGGTGGAAATGGTGTGGAGGAGAGAAGAAGCTCACATGATGATCAGGAAGCAAAGAGAGACATCTCTACTCCCCAGATAACAAATATATACCCCAAAGGCATGCCCCCAATGATCCACCTCTTCCAGCCACATCCTACCCACCTTCAGTTACCACTCAGTTAATCCCCATCATAATCCAATCATAAGGCTCTCATAACCCAATCATTTCACTTCTGAATGTTCTTGCATTGTCTCATACATGAGCTTTTGGGGGACACATCACATCCAAACCCTAAAGTTGAGTATGTAAGTAGATACCGGRTGAAGCAACTTTACTAAAATATTGATTTTGGAATCAAGTGACAGCTAATGGAGGTTCGCTCTAAAATTCTTTCAAAATTTCCATCTGTTTGCAAATTTTTGTAAACAATGTTGGAAAAGAAAACACATATGGGTGCATTCTTTCTCTTAGTAGCATTTAAGTTCAAGTTCCTATACTTTATGTTGTTCTAGGATTGTCCCAGGAGAGTGGATGATTAGCAAGGAAATAGTCAAGGAAGTCCTTTGTTATATACTGATTAAGCAACAAATCATATAATTATATTTGGTAAGAATTCCTACAACAAGGCTCACATGGTTAACCAGAAGCTTAGGTAACTACTACCTAAACTTGGCTGCCTACTACCCCTCCAGCTTGGGATCTGGCTGCTGATGCCAGATTATTTAGTGCATTCAGGAGTGKAAGGTGACTCATAGGTGTTACTTGTTGCAACAGGAGAAATTATTTGCTTTTTTGTGACTCATAAACCTCTCACCTAGGGAAAGAAGCCCTTGTCATTCTTGAAATGATGCAGTATATTTCCATCCTGTGGATCGATGTGACTCCATGATTTTTTTTTTAATTTTAGTGGATCTGGAATGGGAAAAATCCTACTCATCATCATCATCACTATCATCATCATCATCATCATTATCATCATCATCATCATCAAAAGAATGGGTGTTCCCCACTAATTAAATCATTCTGCTTTACTTCATTTAGTTGTTCTATGATTTCATATAGGCCAGTAACATTATGCACTACACCTATTTTATATTTGTGGAGACTGAGATATGAAGTATGCAAGTGACCTGACCCAAGTTCATTGAAAAGTACAGAGATAATGAGTTGAAATTAGAATCTAGGTTTCTGACTTCTAATTCAATTTCCTTTACTTCATGCCCAACTGAAAACATAGGCAAATTATCATTGCCTAATTATTATTGCTTAATTTTGTCAAGAAGGAAGAAACTTTAGAGGAAACAAGGTATTGGGGAAAGTCATGCAAATACAATCATGGGGAATAGGAATTTTCCCTAGTTTGAATTCATGCTATGCAATTGCATAATCTTAAATCCATTGTCCATCCTGTCCTTCCATATTTAATACAGTGTCTGTCTCTTCTGAAAGATTAAATCTAAGTTTGAGTCTCTCCACATGAAATCGCCCCAAGCTGGGTACTCTTTAAGGATTAGTGAGTAGATGTTGGTCACTAAGGACGCTTTCTTATGTCTATTGCATGCTTCTCCTGTGTTCCTTTCCCCAGGCACCTGTTAAGGTGTAACACCGTGGTGTGGAGGGTTCACTGCCATCATGCCCATTCCATCAGCTCCTGAGAAACTATAAGACATATTCCCCAAAATGCCAATTGCCGATGTCTTGTAATGCCACTTGATTTCCCTTTACTTTGGATTTCCTGGCATGGGAAATGGGCATTGACTAGGGAGTCAGGTATTCCTAGGAATGAAATCCTCCTCCACCAGTTCCTACCTGTGAAATCTGGGAAAATTTTCAGCCTCCTTTAGGATTTTCATCCACATAGTGAAGTTAATTTTAGCACCTGCACCTCGAGGCTGTTATGAGGATTAGATGAAACCATGTTGATGAAGGGTGGAGCTAATATGTGGAAATGTTTCTCCTAAATTTTCCTCTAGTACTTTCGTAGTTTCAGGTTTACATTGTCTTTGATCCATTTTGAGTTGAGTTTTTGTAGAGGGTGAGAGGTAGTGATCTAGATTCCATCTAGTACATGTGGCCATACAGTTTTGTCACTGAAATTAACATCTTAAAGGAGTCATTAGGCATTTCCATCTTCATTGTAGCAGTATTCATAATAAGCAAGACGCGGAAACAAAGTTCATCAGTAGATGAATGGATAAAAATATAGTATGTACATAGAATAGTATTCAACCTCAGGAAAGCAGGAAATCCTGCAATATGTATAACATGAATTAACCTTGACGACATGATGCTGAATTAAATAAGAATATAGAAGCGCTTCTCATATATTTGATAAAATTTATGTGTGTCTAATTGGAAGGAATTACATTAACATATTTTTGTAATCAGAAAAATCTTGCATTAAGAGAACACCAAAAGGTGTGTAGTTATGGAGTAAATTTTAATTTGCATAGTAGGTGACTAATCAATAAAAATCATCATTTTTTCTGAATTCACAATCTCTACTAATTTTTCTCTCTCATTTGTGATGACAGTCATGTGCACTTAGTGAAGTACTAACTATATTTTTATTGCTCTTTCAATACGCCCAACAGAGGTTGAGAACCAAAGCTGGTTGCCTTCAAACTTCCCAGACCACTGATCACTAAGGTAGAATTTAGGTGAACGTTTTCTCAGGCCATTTTATGTCTGCCTTTCTTACCATAAGGTTCTCTGTTCAATGGGATTGATGAAGCTCAATTAATCAGCGAGGATCCAGAGTCTCTAAATCACTTCTGAGAATTATATTGAACTCCCCAAGTGAAACTCAATGGATTCTCATGGTTCTTGGAGTGAAGACAAACTCTAAGTGGCCCTATGCATCCTGTCAAACCTTGTAGAGCATTCTAGCCCTTGCTCCCTCTGCTTCAGTCCCACTGGCTTCTTTCAAGTCTTCTCATTCCCTTGGGTCACAGTCTGCTTCTGAGTCCAGTGTCTGAACCACTCTATCACCCCCACTACCTTCACTCCATCTTAGCTGGTCAAGCTGCCACTTACCTTCTTTCTTACCTATCGCCTTATTTTTCTTATTAATTATAAACACTCGATGTTGTGTTTATAATTCTCTGGGTTCCCTTTCAAGCATGGCTTGCTCTGTGTTTGTGAATCCTTAGGACACTGTTTCGTTTGTATCTTTTTTAAACCATAGAAATCCAAAGGATCATAAGCGATCACGACTGTTTTGTACCAACCAATTGGACAACTTATAAGAAATAGATAACTTCCTAGAAATATGCCATCTACCAAGTGTGAATCAAGAAGAAATAGAAAATCTGAACAAACTAATAAAGAGTAAGGTGAAAAAAAATTGTAATCAACACTTCCAAAGAGAAGCCAAGGACTAGCTAACTGAGCACCTTTTTTTTTTTTAACTGATTTTTTTTTTTGTTTTTGAACTAATCTATCTATATCTCCCAGATTTTTCTAGAATTGCATGGTGACTAACTCTGAGTACAAGAAAGTGGACTAATTTTGACACTAAGTGGAAAATTCTTCTGAGGTAATCGAGTTTTTTCTAGGAGAGGTCTGATTGCTGTTTCCAGTACCAGGAGAACAGGCAGTGCTTGAGAATCTCTGGGAACTGGACCAGGAAAGAGAGAGAAAGCCAGCCATGGACCCCACCTCCTCCTGCAACCCTGAGTTCAGGCAAAAGAAATTATCCGTAGATCTGATAGGACCGTTAGGAAGAATCATGAAGTCACGAGAGCCCTTTATTCTTTTCATCCCCTGCCCAACTTCCCTATTTGATATTATGACCCTTTCAACGTTTGTTGCTCCCAGGTGACCATTTCTTATTTTCTTAGCTATGTATGTTCTTCATTCCCTAGGAGCTGTGCAGGATTTCTTTTTATGTTATTTTCACTAGGGATTTAATTAAGAAACAAACAACCAAAACCTTATTTACATGGTTTGGAGGGGTGAATGCTTACCAGTAGAATTTCAGACAACAGATAAACCAATAATGCTGATTTTTTTTTGAGCTAGGGAAGGAAGCTTGTGTGATCATACTTTCCCTCCCTGCAGCTAAGGTCATACCCTTGTGGATAGCGGAACAAAAGCACAGACTCCAGACACCGTTGGGAACTGAGCGTGAACACTCGTTTCTCTAGCACTGAAACTCTCTCAGGGAAAACTCTCTTAAGACACATTTAATTTGGTGCCAAACCAAAGTGCTTTGACATAGCTCTTTCTTTCATCTGGGTGACCCACTAAGAGTGCACAGTAGTTCTGCTCTGGTGATGAGGGAGGATGCAACCCCATTTTGCACTTAAGGGACAGTCTATTTTTTCAGCCAATTATAAGACACCTTTAAACAAAGAGCTGCTTGGTCAGTTGCTATTAGGCTGGAGGTTGAAAGTTCCTGTAAGGGATCCTATGGAAATTCTAATTTCTCATTATGGAAACAYGATGTATGTCTACACATAGGTGGATGCAAGATTGAAAGTCTGAAGTGAATACTGAAAGATATTTTAATGTTGATTTTGATCAATTTTTAAAGAAAAAGGAGTTCACATACTTGAAAAGAAACAAGCAAAAATCTGTGCTTAAACAGACTTCTTAAATAAGTGGTTTCCTTCTAAGAGCAATTGCACCTTTTTCTAAAGTACTTCATCAGATGTCTCTCCTTTGGCCAGTTCATTTGTGAAACTTTTACCTATTCCTGTAMTTACATCCCTTGACTGAGATGATCTGAGTAAGGTCTATTGGTAGGACTAATTTCAAGATCCTAATTAAAAAAAATTTGCTCCTGTGGCCAAAGTCATCTTGTTTCTTCTGCTTCCTGTTTCCAGAGAAGACCTTCAGGGAAGGGGTCAAGGTACATCCTTGGGATTCACGTTCCTGGCACACCCAGGTATCCCAATGGTGCTAGTTAGTTCCCAGATAAGCAGGGAAGAACTCTTGCACATTCACCAACCCACTTCAGAGACACAATCAAAAGAAGGGTTCTGCATCATTCATAGTAAGCATCCATCCAGAGGGCTGCAGATTTCTTCAAGGCCCTGTGTGGAAGGAGGGAAAAAAATCAGGAGGTAAGACTGTAATGAAAAGGAGCTTCTCCATGCAACATTGAGTTCCTCTGCGTGGTTCAGGGTAATGTCATTTGCAGCTATATCTGATAAATGTCATTCTCTGTTGACCAGGGAAGAGGTCAACAAACTACTGAGTTATTTTTAGCARGTGATTCCACTTTTCCTTTATGGGAAAGATTTGAATTTTGTTTTCATTTTATTCTGTGTTCCCATACACTTATATACCAATGTTTCTATCGATCCTGGTTTTTAAYGAGGAACATACTTTTCTAGACTCTGGGTCTATAGCAATGGTGAGGAGTGAGTACTGTCTACAGGGAGTTCCTGGTCCAGCTTAGGAGACATGCATTAAATAATTTATCATCCAATAAGTTTCTTGATCATGGCTGGGATAAAGATCGTCAATGAGGAGAATTAGGTGCTATAAAAGCACCTGGTGGCTTTAGTCTTGAAGATCTGTGAAGACCAACATGAGAAAAAGGAAATAGTGATGAGCCTTGGAGCATGAGTGGGGATTGACAGGGCCTTATGAAAGGAGGTGGTTATTTGAAAGAACATTCCAGGTGGAAATTAAAAGTGACAAAGGGACAAGATATCCAGAGGCAGGGAATTTGAGGGTCAGAGAGGGAAGAGGGAATTGTGGAGAGTCTGAGCTGGGGCAGTAGATAGGGGTCAGATGAGACCCAGTTTTTTAATGAGGAACAGGCCTGGCATTGTTGGCCTTCTTCAAAGTACTTCCCCCCCACCACCCAATTTTAAAAGAAAAAGTTACTAAACACAGACCATTGGCTGTTGATTTGCCCAGCATTGTAGGAAACTCTGTAAAGGGCTCAGGATTAGCATGGATGTTTAGTTCCTCTGGTTTCACTACTCAGGGCCTGTCACTCATCTGTTTTGCACATAGTGTCCCAGTAGAGGTGGCAGGCATCTGAGCTGGCAGTAGTGGACCAAAAGATCTGAGAGTCCCTCCTACCACCCAAATTCGAAAGCATGCACAAAGCTCTAGGGAAAATGCAAAGACAAAAGATATGAAGCCTTGGTTTCAAGAAGCCTGAAAGAGAGTAGGATGGCGAGACATATTATTGCTGTAGTTTTTGTCCTATGTAGACTCTGGTATTAGTGCTGGACTCACAGGTGCTCCTTAGTAAATGGATGTTGGGTAGATAGTGATTCATGAGCTAGTGAACAGTCTGGCTAGTGAACAGCCAAGAGAAGTGATGTTATTACCTGATGATATCTCCAAATGCCTTCAACATGGGCTTATTCACATACTGCAATCCGTGCTTGGTGCACAGTGACCTCACCAGAGGTGCCACTTTGTGATAGTTATGGCGCGGCATYGTGGGGAACAGACTAGGGAAAGAGACAGGAGACATGAAGCTTAGGCGTGTAGAGAAAACCAAAGGATTTTTCTTTCCTGTATTACCAAATACAATTCTATTAGCAATGTAGACCCAACCTTGACCTTGCTCAATACTTCTGGGAAGTTCAAGCACTCTTGCCAAGACRCTCTCATCTCTTAACACCTCTGTGAGCCAGAGCCATGTGGGTGGCAATGTTTGGGAAATGCTAACAGAAGGAATATAAGCTCCATCAAATATGGTTATTTTGGGGCTGTCTATCATTTAGAACTTCCGAGGAGAGCTGAAGAACTCTCTCACCCCCTGTCTCTATGTCTGTCTCTCTCTCTATCCATCTAATTTCTACCCCATGAATAGGTGAGTATTCACTAAGGTCTAGTCATAGTACACRGGGAAGGGTTTTAAGACAGAAATAAGAAGTGAGGAGATCTGGGTCTTATCCAAGGTTTTCACTCTTTAGTCAGTAACTTTCTTGGATTTTAACCTCCTCTTTGAGGAAATATGAACAATAACRCTTTCTTGTTTTGCTAAGATTTTTAAAGACTACTGTAAAAGAAAGGATGATAAAATCACATGAACAGGTATAAGATCTCTTTTCTTCTCTGCATCTCCCAGATATGGCTTATATAAAGAAAATATGGAAAATCTCTCCCCTGACTATTCTGGGGAGATCAACCCTCCAGGTATTATCATTTTATCTTTCTTTAGTGTTTGTCCRCCTAACTAACTCTTTGGTAAAGTATTGCCATATACCATTTGGAAATCGCATAAGGGACTAGAATTCATTGTTGGTTATTGTAACTTTGGTTCAACATAGATATTTAAATTAAATTGTGATTACATTTCAATACAACTTGTTTACTCAAGTGGTATCATTTATTTTATTTTTTGTTTTTACCAGCAAACAAAATGTACACACACACACACACACACACACACACACACAATCTCCAATTTCAAAGAATGAATGTATGAGAAAACTAAATTACTGACATCTGAGATTCCATTCCATTTTCTCATAATTGTTACAACGTCTTCCTTCGTTTCTTCTCTCCTTCCCTTACCATTGAAGCTAACAGAAAAATGGCAGCCTTCAKAAAATACTGGTTAATTTTTTCCTGCTGAGACTTTCAGTTGAAGGACTCTGAACTATATTTTGGGGTGTTATAAAAGTGAATACCCTTGCATATTCATGAATTATTGCTAGTACTCACTGGTGTTCGATTTGGAAGTTCAGATGTCCTGTGAACCAGTCATTGAAAAAAGACTGTTCAATATTACAGGTGGCCAAGACCTGTAAAGAAAAAGATTACATTAGATACAAATAAGTCCAAGTGTCCAATTAAGAAAATGTTTATTTATTCTGTCATTCAGTCAACTACCACAAAKTGCTATTGAATATACTGCATAAGAAAATATGAAAATTTGAGACACATAGTCCCAAAATTCAAGGAATTTACCATTTTAGATTAAGATTACGTACCCCATTTAAATCAAATGTATGATATGTCAAGATCATTGTAATGTTTTGAGCAACTAATRAAAAAATTWAAAAAAATACCTTAACTGCAAAAAAAAGGCAATGAAATATTTTACCATGAGGTACAAATGAGGCAATAGATATGAAAGAGTAGGTAGGACTTGAGCAGGCAATCACTATTGATCTTTAGATGAAGAAAGGTTAAGGTGTTGTGAATAAGACTTTGGCAGATGGAGGTGGGACTGCAAGATTATGATGGAGATTTGTTGGGGGTAGGTCACCATTTACACAGAGAGGACTTAAAACACTTCTAAATGAGGAACAAGGCATTCAAGGACCCTAACCCAGGCCTCTGCACAGAAGTGCTTTGTAATATTAGCARTTTTCTTCATAATCGCCTGTATTTTATTTTATGCATTAAAAAACATGATCCGGATAGAGAACTGATAGGTTTCTTCAGGATGCTGAGATTAGGAATCCATATAAATTCATTTTATTTGGTGCCTGTTTAAGGTTTAATTTTAGCTGGGATTGTTGACATTTTGAATGTTAATCTCTAGTTGCTTTGTGTTAATTGAAATGTGGGCTCAGAGGGTCTCCAGGGAACCAAGTCATTTTAATGGGGTCTGCAAGGTTGAAACTATTCCTAAAATGCTTATAAGATATTAGTTATCTTTTAAAATTCTCATTCTTTCATAGTTATACTGTGGAATTTTCCATAGGCTAAATGTAGGATGACATTGTCATTCTGATGTTAACACGCATTAGTTTGGTTATTATTTTAAATTTAATAACAAATAAATATTTTAAAATTTCACATTTTTAACTTTAGATACACTAGACATCAATCTGTACACACAAAAACTCTTTTGTTTTGTGATTTACAACAACTTTTAAAAGTATGAAGTGTTTTTCTTATTTGTCTTCATTGTAACTCGGATGGAGGGCATTTCAAAGACCAGGAATCTAAAAACTTGGTGGGAAGGTTTTGCTAAATTCATGTCCTAGTTATAAACATGATATGGTAATATATTATTTTAATTAAATTTCTTAATATAGTTTCATGCCAGAATTATGATAAGGCAAATGAGGAAACTAAGTGGTTCACCATCATAGATATTTTCTGGTACATTGCAAGTGGGATACAGAAAAATATTAAGAAATCCCCTTCATAATAAAATTAAGGTACCAMAGAACCAACAAGGAAAATGTTTATAACATATATTACAGACAATGTATTAATATCCCTACTCTATGAAGAATCATAGAACACAGTAAGGAATATATAAATATCCAGATACAACAATAGTTTGGCACATGCCTATAATCTCAGAACTCAGAAGRTTGAGGCAGGAGGATCACACATTAGAGGCCAGCCTTTATAATTTAGTGAGGCCCTAAGTAACATAGGGAGACCCTGTCTCAATATAAAAATAGAAAAGGGGTAGGGATGTGSCTCAGTGATTAAGCACCCCTGGGTTCAATCCCCAGTATTAAAACAAACAAACAYCACCAACAACGAAACACAATAGGTTAAGKGCATTGATAAACAATTTACTAAATGGAAATAGGAAGATATACTAAGTATTTCAAATTTAGTCATCTAACTAATGATTAAATCAATRGACTACACACAAAACCCAAAGACAAAAATTGATTCTGTGATCAGAAAGCTTGAGAATCACTCCATTTTACCTTGCAAAKGATCTCCTGAGTTTGTGTCTGAGCTTGTAGAAGAAGTGAGATAATGACATGTGTCCCTTGTTATCATAGCACGGCCAGTTGAAAGGAACTGTGCCAGGCAGGGAGGTTCTGTGTYGATCATAACTCTGTTATTTGGAGAATATGCCATGACCCCTGCCCAGAATGTCTTACGTATGTAATGGAGGAGACTTCCAAAGGTCTTCCAAAATAAAATTCATTCTGTAATTTTATGAATTTCAGACTCACTGGAAATCCTGTGTCATGTGGGAGATTAGAGTAGGGACCAGCAAATATTTTCTATAAAGTKCCAGGAAGTAAGTATTTTACTTCTCCCAAAGGTACTCCTCAATTCTGTAATAGTAGCATGAAATATGTAAATGAATATGTAAATAAATGAACATGACWGTGTTCTAATGAAACTTTATTTCTAAAACTAGGAGTAGGCTAGATATGGCTGYTGGGCTGTAATAGATAGACCTTGGGTTTGGATGAAAGACTCAATAATCAAACCACTTCTATCACTTATTAGTTGTGTGATCTAAGAGTTTATCATCTTATAAAATGATAATAATCATTATGCCTAGCTTGTATACTTACAAGCAAAGCATCTCACGATTCCCAGGGGCCCTAGAAAGCATTTTATGAAGGTGARCTATTGTCTTTTGAGAAAATCAGATTCTAAGTGAGCCTGGCTGCAGGGATTCTTCCTCATAAACTCCATCATTACCTGAGTACTGAGCCAGTCGCGATTCTCCTCCGTGCTCATTTTCATTGGTATGTGGCTCATCTGGGTAACATATGCAATCCAGGGACTTTCAAGAAACCTTTTGGGGAATAAAAGGAGGGAGTGATGACTCTTTAGAGTGTTTCAGTTGCAATCACTGGGCTTACGTAACTCCTGGTGCATCTAGCCAAGCATTGGAAGAAATGAAGGAGTCCAAAGTTCCCATGAAATGGTGGTCATTCATTTTCCTCTTCGAATACTCTATATCTAGAATTGACACTCAGCCAGTTAGCCCCAAGATCTACCCTGTCTCCTAATTTCTGGGAGCAGTGCAAAGATTTCTGTAGCTCTGGTGTCATCAGAGCTGGGTTTGAGTTTTGTCATCAGAGCTGGGTTTGAGTTTTGTCTTGTCACTGACCTTGGCCCTTCCTTGTTCTATGACCTTAGGCAAGTTGATTTAATCTCTCCAAGCTTCACTTCCCTTAGCAGAAAAACAAAGATGATACCATCTACATTGTAGGACGGCACAAGGATTACATCAAGTAAGACAATACATGGAAGGACTTTGACAAAGGGTCTGACACACAGTAGCTGTTACTGTCCTTATAATTATTTAGGATTCAGAATAGTAATGCAACAGAATGAGGAAGGAATAAATTGGGGAGTTGGGGAGGGCTATGTAGGCAGAAGGATGATTCGAAGACATTTTTAGATTTGAGAAAATCTCTACTCACAAAAGAACTTTAAAAAGTTCCTGACCTATCTTTATTTTGTCTGGGAATATGATGTCTAAATAGATAAACTGAAATGTTTTACTTGGGAATAAACTGGACAAAAAAAAATGGAGATTGGGAAAACTGTTCCTGCAAGGAGCTTGTCTCATTAAACTATTTAACTATTGCTTTTTCACATTTACTTAAAAACACCTCTGTTCCAGGGAACAGGGCAGGTAGGCACCGTCTTCTGCCAATCACAAGTAGCTGTGGGAAGAAAAGTCAGAGGATCATTTGGGTTATAGATWTAAGAGAATATTCTTACTTGACCAAATAAATGAGCAACACAGTTCCAAAAATTCCATAGAAAGGGCCAAATGTGATGAAATGGCGGATATAAAAGCTGCTGACCCAGGCAATGTCCTGTAGAGAAAAGCACTTAAAGTTAGATGCACTAAACATAATTTCATTTCTTCATGGGGCTGAGTCCCTCTACCCCATGTATTGGTCAAATCTTATGTCCTGTTATTTAAGAAAGCTACATCTGGTGAGCCCTGAGCATTTTCCATTCCTCTCTTCTACCTGGACTAGTTTTAGACACTGAGCCAAGTTACTCACCACCCAATACCTTCGAAGGTACATCACTTGCATGGATTGCAGATTGAAATACACAGGCATGAGGAGGGGGAGCCCAACTGAAAAACAACAATGAAAAGACGGCCAATAAATGAGCAGAATGTGACCCCAGGGCAAGTTGGTGTCCATCTCTTTACCATGCCAATCCCAGGACATTGGCCCTGAGAAAGAATACAAGGTGGAGATCCATGACCCCAGCCAGGGCTCCACTATGCTTTCCAAGTCTACCAGGCTGAGCTAGGAATTTGGTCATCAGCTCCAGGTYCAAGTGCCCTCAAAGCAGCTTGGAAAGCATTGACGATTTGGATCATTTTTTGATGACAGCTTCTCTGAAAATCCGCTGTGAGCTTGGAAGGGTTTCCCATATCCTGGTAATTCTTTAGTTCCTCCAGATCCATGGGATTGAGTCCTGTCAAAATGTGTTGGTGTCGGGGAGAATAAGGAAGGAGTCCAGGACTGGGATGATCTCAATCCTCTCAAAGTTCCTATCTGACAAAGACAATGCTGCCAAAAGAATTTACTACTTTTTTTTCCAGCCAAAACTTGACTATGGATCAGCTCTTGACCTCCCTTTTTCTTAGAGGAATTGGCTTTAGAAAAGTTACAATTATAAATCCTTTCTCTGTTCCTTTGAGATTTATTTTCTACAACCAGAGACCTGGGAGCTGTTTCTTTGAAATGTTATCATCAAAAAGCATAGGGCCCCTGTGTCCTAGTCTTTGTGGGAGGGCTGGAAACTAACATCAGTAAGAGCCAGTTAGCRGACACAGATGGTCTAGCCTAATCACATTGACCAACTCCCCCACTCCARCTCCATCTCTTAAAATCTTTCAGCTCTCCCTTACATGCCCAGACATTTAAAAAGCCTCTCTTCCACCTTCTGTTCCTGCAGAGTTAACCTCAGTTTATACTGAAGTTTCTCTCCCCTATTGCAGCAGCCTGAATAAAATTCATCTTTCAGCCTTTGGCAAATGTCCAAATGCTCTGCTTCTCTGTGACAGTTTTGAGTACGACTCACTTGTACCCAAGATGCTAAGCTGACATATGAAAGGAAGGAAATGGTAAAAACATCTCTGGGTGGGGTCAGGGGGGGTTAGTGTGGTTTGTGTGATGGACATTCTACAGTTAATCCACGCCATTCTCTCATTCCTCATAAACGTAAGGACATAATTGCAAAACTACCTAGAGAGGAGTTCAAGGCACATTTGCAAGAAAAGTTCCAAAAGTCAATTTTTACTGCACAACTTCACATCCAGTTGAGAAGGTCAGACAATGAGTGTAGGCTGAGACAYTGAATTCCAGTTATGGAACTGACAGCAGTGATGGGTGGCCCCACAGTTCAAACAATTCACACAGAAGCCACCCTCCTTGGGCATGATGCCGATGGTTACTAGTGACCTGAACATGGACAAGTCAGATCACATGCAATAGGGTTTCTCAACCTCAGCACTGTTTGATTTGGGGCGGGCTAATTATTTGTTATGTGAGGCTGTCCTCTGCATCATAGAACATTATCAACATCCCTGTCTCTACCTACTGCCTGCCAGGACCATCCCTCCCCTCCACTGGGATAAGGAAAGTGCCCCTAGAGAYTTTCAGACATGCCCTGGGGAGAAACACCTGTCACTGTTTCACATCACTGGTCTACAGGCAATGTTTSGTTCCTCCCTGATTTGGGTTTATTTCCAAAATGTACAATCACGTTGTGATGAGCAGATTTGGGGGCTCCTTGAAAACATCCTTTGTGAGCAAACATGAGTTTGATTTGGCTTGGAGCAAAGTCTTTGCTCATGATGTGCTTTTCGTAATTGGTCGGTTAAACGAGTTTGCTTTTAGGCCTTGCCAACATGCCCACATGCTGGTGTGTGTGTATGTGTGTGTGTGTGTGTGTGTGTGCGCGCGTGTGTGTGGCGTGCGCACGTGAGCATCAGGTATTCTACAGCTCCACGTAGGCCATGGGGACAGAGAGCTTTCTCCCACACAGGAGCTCTGTTGGTGACTATTATCCCAAGTTCTACTTTTTCTGGCATCTCCCTGTAAATGTTTGGATATTGTTTCCCCACCTCTCTTTCATCCCTACACAAATCCCAGTATTCTTTTCTTTCAAGATGTGAGTCCTGCATGCATGTAGGACTCCTTGATTGGCATTCTGCCTCCCCAACCTGCCTCTTGAGGGATCTCCCTCCCTCCCTGCCCAATACCCAAGTGATCAGATGTCACTTAAAACTGCTTGTTTGCTTTTTGCTTTTTCTTTTCAGAAATTCATTGCCCATGCGTCTGAAATAAGAATTTTGCTCTTCTCAGGAACAATAAGAGGGGCTGGTCTCTGTCACAGGATTCTCATCCTGTCTTGTGGCTTGACAAGTGCTTACTGTAGGGAGGTGGAGACTCACCCCAGTAGAAGTACAGGTGCTGCTTTTCATAGTTGATGTACTTGATTTTCTTCTTGCCATACTGAATGGAGAGAGAATAAAACTAAAATAAGAGACAACATTTCTGGCTATCACACTCAAGGACACTTGTGTGCGTGTGTGTGTGTGTGTGTGCGCGCGTGTGTGTGTGTGTGTGTGTGTGTGTGAAATTTCTGTGGAAAGAGCCATAGTGTTCATTTTCTGTCAAACCTGAGAAGAACCAGAATTGGCATAGGAGTCAATATTGTGACATCTTTTTTTCTTTAATTGGGAAATTCTTACATAGATGGATTATTCTATTTTACTACGGAGATTGTGATCACTATTTTTTTTTAAATTCTCATGAAAATTAGTTGGGAAATTTTCCTCCTTAGGTAGAGTAGCATTCTACTGAAAAAGGACATTTCTGATGAGTTTTTCTAGCTCTTCTTTGACTGCAGTGTTTAGTATTCTGCTTAAGCTCAGGCTCCATCTCCATTATTTCATCAAATGGACATTCATTAATGATCATGTGGTCAAAGATATAGACATGGCTCTTCTTATGTAACCCTTCTTCCTCTTTTGTATTCTCATTGTGGATCTCACACTGTGATTTACTATTTGTAAGATATTATGGTAGTGTATACACATAATATTTATTAGACATTTTACATATTTTTATGGTTTGAATGTCAGGTGTCCACCMATATCTCATGTGTGAGACAATGCAAGAAGGTTCAGAGGAGAAAYGATTKGGTTGTGAGAGTCTTAACCCAATCAATGAACTAATCCCCYGATAGGGATGAACTGAGKGGTAACTAAAGTGATAGAGTGTGGGAATTAAGGCATGGCTTGCTGTATCTGGAGAGTGGAGTCTCTCTGTGCTTCCTGTTTGTCATCTGAGCTGCTTCYTTCTACCATACTTGTCTGCCATGATGTTCTACCTTACCTTGAGCCCCAAGGAATGGAGTTGGCCTTCTATGGTCTAAGACCTCCAAAACTGTGAGCCCCCAAATAAACTTTTCCTCCTCTAAAGTTGTTCTTTAAGTCACAGCAGTGAAACAGCTGACTAAAACAGAAATCATTATTCATTATATATATATATCACATAATATTAAAATGCACTCACTGCTGAGAATTGGGTTCATATCCTAGAATTCCCTTTGGTTAGTTTGGCCTGTACTCAGGACACAAARTGAAATACTTTGAGAGAAGGATAGAAGTAATGGTTGAACCTTTAGTACTTATGAACAYTCAATAAAGGAGTGAATAAATGAATGAATGATCACTCAGACCCATTCTACATTTTTTCTAGGTCCATTCGGTTACAACAAGGGCATTGGACTCTTGTTTCCTCATTGAGAATCTTCCATGCTATGTAGATGTCTTCCTGTATTTGGTCCTTCCACCTCCTAAAACTTTCACAAATCCAAAGGAGTATGAGATATAATAATGGCAATTTGAAGTTACTCTCAAACCTTAGAATATCTAAGTAGTGAGAGAYAAGGAATAGGCACTAGGTGGAAATGTTTGGGAACTGGCAGCTTAGGTGAGTAGGCACTACCCTGAAGGAGCATCCCACATCTTGCAGGACATGAGCACAAGGCATAGAAGACTCAGTCAATACTTGTTAAGAAATTGATGTTTGAAGAGAGTTGTAGAGAGGAAAAGCTCAGGACTCATTAGAAGGGTTTTGATGTGAAACCACTAAACTTCAGAGTTTGAATAATTTTAAGTGATGTTTTGCATGGTGGTTTTAAAATCATAGTGTATAGAACTGACTCTAAGTACCTAGGGATGAGTTCCAAAGGCAGATGGAGAAGTTGGAGAGATCATCTTGGTCACTTGGGACAAAGGGTGAGTCTACCAAATATGGAAAAACCTATTTTCAAAAAGTTGCACAAAATGTTTCATTTATGTACTAGATAGGTCCAGGCAACAATGGACAGAGCTCTATTCTTATTTTTTAACAATCCTATTTTTTTTCTAGCAGGAGATAGCAATCTCTAAGTATCCAACTCTCAGTATCCATTGTTCCCCTTGAGAAGAGATACCCATGGTGATGGTCCTTCTATCTCCTCTGTTTAGGGAAGACTCTCTCCAACAACATCTGGTAATTTAAACAGCCTTTTGTGTGACAGTTTTAAGTTGAAGTTTTGAAAATATCAATAATGRAGAAATTCTAGAGATAACTTATCCCTTTGTTTTTGCTTAAGGAGTCCAAATCAGAGGTGGAATCTCAGTATCTTACAAGGCATTTCAGCTGTGTGTTTCATGTCTMAATGCACCAAAATGAACATGAACTAAGAATAACAGCCCATTTTCTTCTAACTGGGCTAGATTCATTGAGATAACTGGATGTTTAGATGCTTATGGTCTGTTGCTTATTGAATGTTCTGACCTCTCTGTATCGTCCCTAAACTTCAAAGAGTCAAGCCAGCCTCAGTCATCTACTTTCTAACATGACTTATGCTGCCTCAGAGGKAGTGATAAGCACTGGGTAGGGACCYGTGTGTCATTGGAATTGCTCAAGMTAGGTGAKGCAGGTTATCATATTTCCTGCTGTGGGAGGTTAGACTGGATAACCTTTCGGGTCACAAAGTCGTTAACGCAGATTTAGTTATTTGACATCTATGTCCTGGACCTAAAAGAAGATGCTCTTTGATGGCATGTGAGGCCCAAACTTTCAGCTCGATCTTTCCGTGACTAGCACCAAAGCCTTTCTAGGAACCACTTCCAGGAACATTTCTCTGGTTCCCGGAAAAATAGTTAAACAAACCTTGATGGGCTGTGAATCTCCAAGCAGAAAAAGCGGGCCCATGTCAATATCTGGATCTTTGGGGTAGATATTCGGTTTTACATGATGTTGGAAGTGTCGGTAGTTCCACCAGTTTGCTGACAGGCCCTAAGGAGAAGAGAAGGCTCATTAGCTAAAATAATTATCTCCTGAAATACCCTTCACCATGACAGTTTTCTGCATGAATCTTCAAGGTCAAAATAAGGTGTTTGATTTTCTTGAGCTTTTCTCCACTGCTGGGTCACAGGATGAATCACTGGATAAAAAATTCTCATAGCTTATTAGGCAATCATCCTCTGATCCAGGAACACAACTTCGGGCTAAAATAACTCCCAATAATGACAATAATAATAATAATAATAATAACAAATACTTTTCCATCCTTCTCTTATTTGATCTTCATTTAAAGAAATTTTGGTAGACGATGGAACAGAGAGTATTATTTCTATTTTGCGTATAAAGAAACCTCAGCTCCAAGACTAATTACTTCTGGGGAAAAAGTGGCCCCAGGAATCCTGCTTCAATGAATATTTCAAAGAATCGTGGATCTGAAGTRATGTCCTTGGGGAGCTTGGCTCAGATCATTGCATGTCCCGGCTTCAATGCTCTTATATAAAAATAAATGAGAATAAAAATATTTTAGCTAGTGCCAAGCCTGAATCACCTCTGATTGAGTTGTTTATGATTTCCTCTCTCTCTCGCTGAAAGTTAGGAAGTTTTAATAGCAAAGATTTGGAGGCGTATCAAGCTAGTTTCATATGCTAGATGTATAAAACGCTGCTGTGTGGTTTGGGCAAATCACTCTTCCTGTTTGAGGCCCAAATGCATCTCCAGTAAATACAGAATAATGACATCTACCTCAGCAGGTGGCTCAGGGAGATAGGAGGTGCTGCCTGCAAGTGCTGGCACACCGACACAGGCAATTTCCCTTCATTTATGCTAATCATTTGCAGAATAATAAGAAGCAGTTTCTTTACTGCAGATTTGCCTTTCCTTAATAACTAGTTGATACATGTTCTAGATCTGTCMTGCCCAAGATAGTAGTCATCAGCTATGTGTGGCCAGTTGAATTAAGATGAGTTGCAAATGTAAAATACATTCTGGATTTTAGAGACTCAGTATAGAAAAGAGGAATRTAGGATACATCATTAATTTTTATTTTGGTTATATTTTAAAATGATAACATTGTAAATACCTGAACAGTAATAATGTCATCTTTTAAATGTGATTATTAGAAAAWTTTAAATGACACCTATTAATGTGGCTTATTTGTATTTCTGTTGGAGAATGCTGGTCTAGATACCATACATCTGTGGTACAGGGGACAGGCATGTTTGGAAGCCTGTAAACATTAGCACTGTCTTTCCATAGGCCATAGAGTTAGCAATCCCCCACCCACCCTCACCAATAGGAATGCAGTTCTCTTGTYTTCTCTAATACTCCCTAACATCCTTATAGAGGATATCTCCCTTTAGCCCAGGTATTTCTCCTATGTCCCATGTCCAAATGAAAAATCATTTACCAAATATGTCCTCTTAGATATCCTRTAGTGTCTCAAACCCTATGTGTCCCAAATTAGACTCACCACCTTCTATTTCCCCTCTTGGGGTCCACGGCCTTCTGAACTTCTGTCATCAAATTGCCTATGACCCGTTGCTCTTGCAATTAATTGTACATTTGCTCATTTAATTCACTCACTTGCTATTTACTTTGAAGTATGCCTGGGCCGAATACTAAGCCAGACATTTGCAATATCAAGATAAACAGGATAAAATAGGGTTCCCAGACCAAGAGAAACATCACCTAATGGGAACAGTAAACAACAAGAGCAGTGTGATAAGAACGTCTCTCTTTTTAATTAAGTCCTCCCACAGCCAACAGTTTGGCCTCTTCCATTGGCTGTCTGTACTCTTTTAGCTGATGTCTGGCTGTGGAAATTGGTAATATGGGAGGCAGGTTTTGATTGGCAGTAGATTGAGAGTGGATCTCAACAGCACAGGAATGTAGAACTTAGGATAGAAGCCAGGATAAGGTTGGGTGTGATCCACACAACTGGTTCCTCTTGGGCCCCTCTGTCTGGAAAATGCTCTCTGGAGATAAGGAAGAGYACCTCATAGGCAAGTGGGAGGTTACCCAGAAGATTATAGAAGGAGCATGCTTGACACTCCCTTTCCCCAGGCACCAAGTGTTTGGGAAGTAGTTATGGAAAACAATGTAAGCCAGCTATTCTAGGGAGGACTTAATTTCAAATATTCTGTCCCATTATTCCTATAAAAATATTTGATTCTTATTATTCTCAACCTGTRCATATAGGGGCTTGARAARTATACTATGGGGAGTCCATTTGGCRTTTACAGCTTGAGTACCTCTTTTCAAAGTGTTTAGGGCCAGCAGTGTTCTGAATTTCAATTTTTAAAATATTTTAAAATATTTTCATATTCATAAAAAGATATCTTGGGGGTAAGACCCCAATCTAAATATTAATTCATTTAAGCTTCATATGTACCTATACACATAGCATGCACAAAATATTTTAAATAATTATTTTTTTTTTGCATGAAACAAGCTTTTATGGTGTGAAAATTTCCATTGTGGCATCAAATTGGTGCTCAAAAATTTTTGAATTTTGGAGAATTCTGGATTTTCCAGTTTGGGGTGCTCAATCTGCATTGCAAAAAATCCAAAATAAGTGTATATATTTCATGGTTTATTTTCAGAAGAGCTCTTTTATTATGATATACTACAAAATCCATAAAATATATGTTTGCACAGCCAATGAGWGGAAATCTCTAAGAATCTCAATATCTGTGCTTTTTCCAGGGCAGAAGAACTGATATTAAGTGGAGTTTTGATATTTGAAACTGTGATGCATGTAAAAGKCAAGGATGTTGTTGCTTATAATTTTCTTTGTCCTCTGCCTCCCGCCTACCCTTCCTCCCTACAGGTCATTTTCTCTTTGGCACATAGTTGAAACCTATATTCATTTTGTTGGTGAATCACTGGCTTTCCCTGTGAAATGGTAGAGTACTCCTGATTCTCTTTCTGAGCCATTTCCTATTTCTAGTTCTGCTTGCAAGCCATCAAGGTTATATTCATTTCAACTAGTGCAAAATTATTTCTGAGGAAATAATATAGAAAGATCTGTGTACAAATTTGAACCAATGGGAAAGCATTGATTTTTTTAATAGTGCCAGCCAGGGTGGGGCTGATGGGAAATATTCCAAATACCAGCAYCAAATCAACTGCCAATTACCTCTAGGGCAGATGAGTCTCTGACTCAGCACCAGGGAGAGGAGAGGAAAATGAAAGGGCTCATGGCTTCAATYTCATGAAGACATAAGAGAAAACTTCTGCTTTTATTCTGTTGTAAGTATTTCTGAGTGAATTCAGAAACATATCTAACACTGGTAGACAGGGACAAAATAGTATACCTACAGAAATCTTCTGATTAAGTGAAACTTGTCATATAAAATGACATTTTTTTTCTGGACAGAAATATAAAACATGAATCTAAAAATCCAACTCTGTAATATGGATCGAAAATACAAATAATTTATTTACACATCACTCTGCTCAATAGGAAAGTCAATAGATGATAAGAAAGAGCAGGTAACTCCAAGTACCTGGCAGATCAAGATTGCTATGATTTATGGTTTACTTTCCTATCCTCTTAATACCATTACATTAAAAATTTTTATTAATGATTCTGAGTCCTCATTTGGATTATGAAAAGATTGTTCCTAATATTAGTAACAGGTAAATATTACTAAGCATTTGCAGACAGTATGATAGTCGTGACACAAGAGTATTACATGTGATCTTAACGACATCTCTAACCATCAAATCTATCATCTATCCTCATTTTACAGTTGAGGAACTGAAGTTCAAATGCAGAACATAATCTTTCCAAGATGACCAACGAACTCACTAGCTAATTTCCCATGGAAGGCAGTTCTGTTGTTAGAGAAGATGTCAGTCTTGGCTGCAGGTTGGATTCAACAAAGAAGCTTTCAAAAATATAAATGATGTCCAGACCCCACCACAGACAAACTTAATCAGAACATCTATGATGGTGCCTAGGCATTGGTGTTTGTTTGTTTGTTTGTTTGTTTGTTTTAAAGAAGACCTCTTCTGGGTGCCCCTGAATAGCCAGGATTAAGAAGCACAGCGGTGGAACCTCTACTATTTAATATTGTGCCACAAATGTTCTCACATCCCAGGCTGTGGACGTTCACTTAAATAGTTAACCTTTTTGAAGATCCACCTCAACTGAAAATAAGGGTGCTACAAGCCCCACCTCGAGAGAATTACGTGAGACAACAGCCTGAAGGGGATGGTTCTGAACCTGGTACCTGGCCGACTCAYGTCTGATGTGCGTTCCCATCTGCCCTCCCTTATGATTTACTSTCCCAGTTCCTGCTCCTGCTCCCTGTGAGCTGGCTCCAGCAGCTTCTTCACCCTCTTATTAGCTGGCCACTTCCAGGCTGCTCCAGGCTGGGGAACTAGACAGCCAGGTTTTTTTTTATTAGCCTGTGTTAGGAAGGAACACAGGCTCAGAGTCAGTGCTTCTGGAATTTTCCTAAGAGGAACTGTCTTAAAATCACAATTTTGATTTAGTGAAAGATTCAGAGGCTTTTGYCTGTCTTTTGGGCCAGAGTACATCGTCACCCAATCCTAGAAAGTTATAGAAAAGAGGAGATCTAGCTTAACTCCTACCATTACAGATGGGAACACCGAGGGCCAGAGAGGGAACAAGATTGAACCAAGGTCCCATAATGAACAGCATCAGGGCTGGGACTGAAGGCCACTCTTACCAGTCCTCTTGCTTTGATTTATTTTCTCCTGCACTCACTTGTTCATTCATTCAAAAATGCTCATTGAAGGCTTACAGTGTGCCAGGAACTCAGGGAACCTGTTTCTTGGAGCTTACGTTGTGGGGATAGGACTGGTTGCCATCACCACTACTTGCTTTTTCCAGAAGCCTGGGTTCTGTACCCCTCCTCTGGAACAAGCTGTCTGACCTTTCCTGACTATTCTTTCTCTTCATTTTTATATGTCTCCTGTGTTATTTCCTTTGTTTGTTCAGTGCCTTTCAAGGTGAATCAGGCCTGCTGAATTCTCCTAGTTCCCAGCAAAACAAAATTTCACTTCCTTTCTCAGAGTATTCCCATTCATGATTTTACAGCACATCTCTTCATTTTTAAAGACACAGGCTTTCTTGTGGGTGGTGGTTCCTTAAGGCAATGGGGTGCCGGGTTTTTAGATGAATAGCCTTTCAGGTGAATGAAAAAATGTAAGAACTTCTTAAATAAATATCAGCATTTTCTTCCTGACATTTAAAAATCAAGTGTAGCACATATTTGGTTACATTATATTTCAAATCAGTGTGTATAACCTGCATTGTTAGTACATTTACACTCATTTATGGGGCTTTGCTGACATGAGCACGGTCAGCCTGGAAACCGCTGCTTTAGGAAATGATGCTCAAGGCCCCYCCAGCATCCTTCCTGACACCCTTTACCTTGAGATGACACATCACAAACTTGTGCATCAGGTGGTTCCACTTGGACTTCTTAAACATGGAAAGGTGTCCTATGTCATGCTGCAGAAATGAACTCTGAGCCTAGGAGAGACAGAGTTGTTAGAGAAGTTGGGAAGTCCAGAGRAATCTGAAGAGCCCACTCGTACCTTTGTGAGCCTGAGAATGGGTGGTGGGGGGCCCTTGTCTGACCTCCATTCAAGCGAGTTTCTGTGTCTCCCACATCTCACATTCAACACCCCCATCCTTTTGTGCAAATGGTTCTGTCAGCTTGGAAGGCTCTTGCTATCACAGTCCAAGTCCTCCAGTGAGGCGTGGAAAGACCATGGACCTTTGCATCAGACAAACTTTTGTTCTTTATGACTCACCAGTTGTATGACTCCGGGCAAGTTACTCCGAAGCTCTCACCCTCAGTTACTTATCTGATACAAGGTGATAATAATACCTAACTCAGGGAGCTGTTGTATAATTTAAATAGTATTTAGGCTAAGCTCAAAACAACCATTGATTTCCTTTCTTGTTTCCAAAAGTTGYTTTCCAAATAATAAAGCAAGTTGTCCTTTCAAAAAAAAAAAATGGACAGAAAAGTTTTGAAATCTATAAATACGTTACTGTTGATTCTCTACAAAACCATCCCTGTTGTTCCAATGAGAACTAAATGTCCCTTTCTGTTCCAACAGCGCATGCTTGTTCCTCCTGCTGGCACTCATTCCTCTCTGCCCTGCACTATGTTCAGCAGATGATTTATTGCCCATTTTGGATGACACCTTTCTCGGGGACAGGAAGTCTGTGAATTTCTCTCCATATCCATACAGTCTTGTGCTCATAGGAGGCCCTGTTCAGAAATTCATCCCTTATTCAACAAGGATTTAACAAATGCCCAGCTATACATGATGCAACTTGAGAACATTATGTTAATAATGAGAACATTATGTTAATAAGCCAAACTCAGAAGGTCAAGGATAATTTTTTTTTCTCTCATATGTGGAAGCTAGAGAAGAAAAAGGAAAGGAAAGGGGAGGTGAATCTCATGAAAATCAAAGGAGATCAGTAGAATAGAGGGCCAGGGGGTGAGTGGAGGGGAGAGAGTGGAGATGTACAGGGGAGTGATATGGAAGAAATTATACTGTGACATTGTATGCTTGTACAAATACATAACAACAAATACCACCATTATGGACAGCTATCATGCATGGATAGGTACACACACATGTGCCCTGCTGAGCATCAGTTATTTACAAAGGAACTCAAGTTTTTATTGTTACTTAAAAAGATTTCTGCTCTTGAACAATTCATGGTCTCATGCAACAATAAATGGTGGCAGATTAATAAATGAAAGAGAAAGATGTGATGAGTGTTATATGACCATAGACAACTTTAGTTGATAAAATTGGGGGAAAAGAACAGGTGAACAGTAGCAATCGTCTTTAACCAAAGCTCTACTATATGCTGGATGCTGTGCTGGGTAGTTTTACACATTAGCTTGTTTAGTCCACCTTAGAATAATTCCAAATTTATTATTATCCTCATTTTACATACGTAGGAACTGGGGCCCAAAGTCATTTAGTAACTTGCAGACAAGTCTAACCTTAAGGAGGAACTTGCCTAGGAGTGTAGGCGGCTGCTGACACTAATCTAAAGAGGGAGGAAGAAACCCAACCTTTTCCAAGGCCACCACCTAGGCTCAGGACACCGGCTTACCTGAGACACTGTGAGAAGAAAGGAGATGAACAATGTGACAGTCCAGCCATTGCCAAAATGACACAGTATCAGCCACGCCAGGACTTCCAAAATCAAGATYTGGATGAGGTGGAGAAAGAAGAACCACAGGTTGGCCCTGAACATGTTCGAAGCTTCCAACGTCCTKCGCAGTTCTTGGAAATCTTCCACCAGCTGGGACTGTGAAATAAATATTGAAGGGAGGAATTAAKTCCTTCAGGGGAAAGGGAACACAGAGGCACAAGTAATAATTGGTTCTATTAATTTAGTAATAAAATTACTTTATGAATAGAATTTTATATACAGGGATAAAATTACATGCCTAGAAATTAAACAAAAGTCAGAGCACAGACAAATGAAATCTCTGAAAAAAAGGTGATGATTGCTATTTCTTTCTAGAGATAAGAATGAAGAGTGACATGTGAACTGTCCAATAGTTAGGGAGCTCAATCAAAGTAGTTATGTGGGGACTGGGATGGCGAAGGAGAGCGCATTGAGAGGTATGTATGCCTGGTAGCTGTTTGTGAAACACAGTATTATCTCAGGTGTTGACTGAAATCTGTTTTTGTTGTTTTGGGGATCTGGGCTGTCTATGTGAATCTGTATTACTGTAGCTACTTCTCTAACTATCTGTATTCCTGTAGTTAAGTTTCCAAAATGCTTTCCCTGTCATTAATTGTTTAATGTGCTCAAAGGACTCTTTCATAGAAGAGGTGAGCATAGAACAGTCTAGTTAGCTTAAAGGAGCTCCAAGGATAAATTCGCTGAGAGCCTCTCACTGGATACCCAACATAGGGTTACCTTTGGCCTGGTGTATCTGCTGGTTAACGTGGTCCTGTACGAGTGTACCATGCAGGTGCGTGTGTGTGCTCGTTGTGTACAATACTAGCATTGGTTTGCAAGTTTGACACATGGTACAGAGGAGGATGCAAGGGTTGGGAAGAACTATCATTTAACTTATTGACTCCAGGGGGGTTGAAACTAGGACAGTTGAGAAAGCGAGGGTATGAGGAAAAAATAGCACAGCTGTACAGAAGTTAAAAAAGAAAGAAAGAAATTAGAAATGAAAAGGGATGTGAAAGTAATTCTAGAAGTCAAAATTCTCATTTCAAAATGCACTGGTTTACAACATTTGAAGGGCACAATGCCTGCCAAAAGTCCAGGTAAGGTCATCTCCCAAGCCTCCACCAACCCGGGGATTCTGGCATCCGTAGATGATTGTAATAATTGTCTGATGGTAATCTGTCATCATCTCTGGGATTACTCTTAGCCTGGTCATATTTTCCACCCATTGATTGTACAAAATAGAGGGCTGTCAAAATCCAGAAGAGTGACTGGCTTGGAATCACCAGCAAGTCCATGACAGATGCTGGACTTCAGCCCACACCCAGTTTCATGCTCGGGCTCCAACTTCCTGTCGAGAGCCACATTTATGTACTCAAGGAAATTTATGGTGGCCCTTCGCCTACGGAGACTAACACTGCTTTAGATAATGGCTATCTTCTGGCTCTCAGAAATTGGTGGGGTTTTATTTTCCTTACATGTTTTTGATTGGAATAATGATTTAATTTTGCATCATCTTTCCTTTTTAATCTAGGGCCACCCACCCCAAATGATGGGCACATACCTGGAAGTTTGCGAATCATTAACACCATCATGGAGCTTGAGACACTGAAAATATCTAAAATTTATTGAGCACTTACTATGTCCCAAACATGGTTCTAAGTGCTTTGAATGATATTACATCTTTCAATCATTTTCCTAATAACTCTTATGTGATTGGTGCTATGATTGTTGCTGTTTTACAGAGAGAGAGAGACACTGAACCACAGAGAGGGGTGGAGGATGAGTTCAGGCTGTCCACCCTCAGAGACCAATCTCCTAAAATGAACCATGGGCTTACAGAGTGAGCCTAAGTGTTAGTCTCAGATTTGTTCATAACCAGTCCTGCATTCTGAGATCAGTCCTGCTCCTTGGGGGAGTCTGTCTCCTTGTTTCCTAAGGAGGGAATAAAGTCCTTACTCCCTCTGTTTCACGGTAGTATTTGACTCTGGGCAAATAAAAAAAAATAAGAATTAAACAAATGAAATTTTAGTCTTATAGAGACCTTGTCCCTTAGAAGACAGTATAGTGCAACTGGTATAGTCAAAGTATTGAGGAAAGCATGGCATCCATCCTTGGGTATACTTAAGATATTTGGGGTCAGAGAATAGTGATTTAGAGTACCAGTTCTTTGGTGAAATAGCTGAGGAACTTTCAGGAAGAAATTTATTCTCCATGAATACTAATTTCCCTGAATGTCAAAAGGGCAATAGTTTTAGTATATTTTTATATCTTTCATTTAACAGCTATTTGTGGAGTTTCTACTACATGTCTGATCCTGTGCAGATGAGTCTGAAGGACACAGGGATAAGTGATACAGACATTTTCTTTGCTCTCATGGAACTGAGTTTAGCAAGGGATGTAGTCACGGACACCAAACACATAATTGCAAACAGTCACTAGAAAAAAGGTGTAAGCTGCCTGGCCTGAGGTGGTGCTTAGAGACAGAATGAGTACGGAATGCAGGGCCCAAAGTTCCATTTCTTGTCTTCACAGAGGTTTAAGAGCTCTGAGCTCTCAAAGGGGATAAATCTTCTTTGAAATATGAAGAATCCACGAATCCATAATACTCCCTCCATATCCATGGTTTCATTTTCTTTGGTCAAAAAATATTAAATAGAAAATCCCAGAAATAAACAATCCATCAGCTTTAAATTGTGCACTGTTCTGAAAAACATGACGATATCTCCACCTTCCTGCTGCATCCTGCTCAGAACAGGGATGCTCTATACACTTCCCTCCTGTTAGTCACTTAGTCGCCATCTTGGCTACCACATCAACTGTCAAGGCCCTTTCACAACTGGTACATAGGGTTCAATAATAAAAACTCTCCAAAGTTTAAGCATCCACCAGGGGCCTTGGAATGTTTCCCCTGTAGATAGGGGAAACTACTGCACTCTATTGTGGGCTCACCCAGGCACAGCAATTGGTTTCTCATAGAAAACAGTAAATTGGCCTCTATGGCTTGTTTCCATCCTTCCATGTACTTGTATCCTGAGACTCACGTTTTTGTTTCTCTCCTGGTTGGGCTCTCCTGGAGCAAGCTCTCCAATAAGCAACGGCTTCAGGTACAGCTTCACAATGTCAAGCTCCAGGTGCATGGCCCTGAAGGCATCCTGTAAATCAGAGAGACCAGTTAGAAGCTCCAAAGACACATGTTTATTCATAGATCAGCCCTCCTCCTCACCCAACCTAGAAATGAACATAGAGTCCATTACATACATTTAATTTAAGTCTAGGTTGGTGGTACAAACTGATGGATCCAAATTATACTTTAGAACCTTCTCAAAAGGCATAATGTATGCATCGTTTTTCTAGGTATGACCAGTATAACCAGGCTCTCCAGAAGCACTGATGACAACACCGTTTATTTAATGAATATCAGAGGAAACAGTTGTGTGRGTTTATTGGCCATGATGGAACTTTCAAGTCCAGCATCAGGTTTCTGGTGATAGTGGTTTACACTATCTGAAGCAGGTAACAGCCAAGGTCAGCTATGCCACCACATCTCCTGTTGAGCGCTCCTTTGTGGTTCTTGTCTGGGGCCCAGAAGAATTAGGCTCCTTGAATTAGTTATTTCCAGAGAAGGGCTGAATTGAGTTTAAAATCATGGGAGCACATTCTTTGAGCCCTGGGTTATCTACACTCTTGATTATGCTTAACACTAGAAGACTCCAATCACTCTATTTAAAATGTTGTTGTTAAGTAGCAACCACATGGCTTTGGGAAGCAGTGAATCTCTATAGCCTATTTAAGCAAGGGGTATTTTTTCCTCTCAAGGATTTGTACAGTCTTTTTTTTTTTTTTCTTAAGGATTCCACAGAAGGGAGATGCTGAACTTTTGTTCTTATGGCTTTGGGATAGGAATGACTAAAAATGAAGAAATATAATCAAAGTTATAACCTGAATGAGTGGAAGCCATGTAAGTACTCTTGTAGCCTTGCACAGCACTGACTTAAATATTTTGTACCTAAAATATGGCCTTGACACTTACTAGCTGTGTGACTACGAACAATTCTGCTGACTTGGTTTTTATTCTTTTCCCTAAATGGGGGTGATGATAGTCCCTCAATTTCCCAAAGCTCTGCACTGCCCCATTGAACTTCTGCACATTTCTTATTACCCTCTTAGGAAATGTTGGGTTACTTTATCTCAAAGATGGTTTTAAATTTTCACATTCTGGATCCTAAAGCTTAGTTCCCCCTAACCAGGAAAAGAGTGATTCAGTGGTTAAGAAAGTGGTTGATGTATCTCATGGTGATCCATACTGAAAAAAAAAAAATCATGTTCTTCTTGCTGCTTCAGAATAAGTTTAGAACAGAAAACATCCTGATGGGTTAAGGTCAAGGAACAGAAGAGTGAAATCTATTGCAATTTCATCTTCCAGTGTGCAGATAATATATTTTTTTTCTGATCCCCCTTAAGGCTCACAGGTCAATACTGCGAGGAGTTTTCCAGAACATTAAGCAACAATCTGCTACAAGGAGTTCAGGTAGTCTTAGAATATTCAATAATTTTCTAACAGAATCCAGATGCTGAGTAAGTTGTGAAACCTCTTCTTGAAAGTCCGCAAGAACAGGTTCAGTTACCAACATTCTTGGGCGAGTATGTTCTTGTTGAAGGAAGGAGGGGGAGTAAAATAAAGGAAAGGGGGATCGTGCCAGTGTTTGTGGAGTGTATCCTGTATACAAGGGGCTCTGAAGGCCACTCCTTGCTGTAGCCTTACTTCTGTGAGGTTCCTCCCCTTGCTTCTGTTACACAGAGAGAGAGGCTAAATCTCAGAGGGGCGAAACGTCTTGCTCCCAAAAGCCAGCCAATAGCAGAGTCAGGATTTGAATTCAGGGCTATGCGACTCTGAAGCCATGAAGCCATAAAGATCCATGCCAGTCTTGATATGTATAATTCTTTCTCCGAAGGGCATGATGATAGATTGTTTTGAGGTGATACTAAAATCAATTTAGATCTGCTGGGAAGATGGTAACGGTGTTCCTCTACTGCAGGTTTCAGTCCCATAAAGTGCATTGCCTATGGCTCCAGGCTGCCTCCCTYTTCTTGCCTTCCTCTATACCTATGCTATTTTCTGACACTTCTGTAAGTCTTGGTTTCATCTGTTTGCCTTTGACTCCCTTCTCAGTCATTCATTTTTACTCATGTTGTCCATAAATTTTTAGTCTAGATCATTTTGAAAGTGATTATTCCTAAAATAGTACCAACATGGGAAAGATATGATATATTATTTGCTTTTACAAATGCGTTGGAAAGGATGTTAAATTTTTGGTATTATTTGTGGAGGAGGGAGCGATGTACTTTACTAGAAAAACAGTATCATCCCTTGTCAAGGAGAACAGTAGGAAAAGTTCACCCTACCTTTCAATCTGTGCATTCTTCTGGCATTCCTATTCTGGAGGTCACCAGTAGGTTTCCAAACCACATACCCATGGGTGGATCGAGACTCTGTTACTTAGCCACTTATTCACCAAATATTATAAATCAAGTTTCCTAAATATCGTTCCCACCCACCCCCTCCTCTCTACTTCTGCTGTCAATGCTTTGTCTGGGCCTTGAACATGTTCCCTGGGCTCCCTCCTGGTCTTCCTTCATTTTGACTGGCCCTTTGTACCTCATCCTCTAACTGCAAGGTTGATCTTATGGAGACAGCATCTTCTCATGGCCCATTTCCATCCATTAGAATTTGGACTTCCTTTTCTCTCTCTCCTCCTACCTCTGTGTCTAAACTACAAGGATGATTCAAATGAGAATCAGATTATAAAATTTGGACTGCCCAGGAAAGTTGAAATCACAGATTCTCACTTTCCTTTCACCAACAGCTTAGAAGTGATGGCTGATTTATTGCTCTGACAAGTGTGAGCAAGGAAGCTGTGCCCAAGCACCACTGTTGGTAGTGGGAGGAGGTGCCAAGCAGTGAGGGGAACACGAGAACTCCTTAGGTCAGCGGTCAAGGTCCTCTGTCTCCCTCCTTCTGTTTCTTTCTTCCCTACCTCTCTTCTAGCTTCATCTTCTCTCCATCTTCTCCTCTTCTCATCATCACATAAGGACAGTTCACTGACATTAACTGAGCACATACTTTTGGCTAAAATTGTTCTAAGGAAAGGAAGTGGCTRGTGTGGCATGCCCCTGCTGTTTGGGTGCTTGCTCACGACATGAATTGTGTCTGCACGCTTCCCCTGGGCTCACCTTTACTTCCCTCATGCCTCAGCCTCGTTTCCATGAGCTCCGCTCATACCAAACCCCATGGAATTCTCTCCCTTGGAATTGCACGCAACTCTACGTTTTTCAACTTAAGAGTCACCCAGATTATTGAAACAAACTTTTTCCTTACATTTTTTAAGCTTTGGTCATCCTTTCCTTGTTGAGTTCACCTTTAACTCCCACAAGAAAGAAGTGGAGTTTCTCAGTGTCCCTTCTAGAGTGTGATGTCCAGAGATGAGGATTGGGATGACCAGAATGCAGGATAATAAACCTACTCTCTTTGTTCCAAACCAGCTGCCTCCGCACCCATTACAAGATTGCGTTCACGTTTTTCATGGAGGTWGGTGTGCACTGTTGTCTTATATAAAATTTATGGCTGTCCCATTATATGTAGGTCCTGTCATCAAAATGCTTTGTAATCTTCATTTTACTGATTGCAAAATAGCTCACCATGTTGCAGTTATATGTAATACTTATAATAAATTCTCCTTGTTGGACTTAGAGAAGGTTTCTGGATATTCCTGGGTAGGCTTATGTAAGTGAAAAGAACTGGGCCTAAACTCTAGCGCTGTGGCATTGATTTAAAATCATATAACTGGAATAAGATAACTCATGTGCAATAATTGGAGCTTATGTGCCAATTTTGTTTCTTAGACTTTTTTTTGGCAAGATTCCTTGGAGAATATTAGAATCCCTCTTGGAAGAATGAAGTAATTATTAAATAAAGGAATTTCCATTTATTGAGTATTTAATCTGAGAACCCTAAGAAGCACTTTATTTTATCTCCACTGACTTTAAAATAAATAAGACAGGGCTGCAGATAACAGCTCAGTTGGAAGAGTGCTTGCTTTACATGCACAAGGCCCTGGGTTCAATCCCCAGCACCACAGAAAATAAATAAATAAATAAATAAACAAATGAACAAACAAACTAAGATAAAGGTATTATCATTCCCATTTTCTAATTAAAGAAACCAAATCTCCAAAGTCTTAAGGAACCTCTTTAGGATCTTCCAAGTAATCGTGGAGTTTAGATGCAAACAAGTCCTGATTTCTTTCCAAACCTGTGTTTTCAACTATTAGGCTGGACCCCTAACAAGGACTTTAACTGACTGCATGAATGAATGGATTAATGATCCATGGGACAGACCACTTGGATAATGATACAAGATTGTGTTTATGTTTTTCATGGAGGTTGGTGTGTATTGTTGTCTGATATAAAATTTATGGCTGCCCCATTATTCATATGTAGGTCTTGTCCAAGGATACACTTAGGTATCATTATTCAGGGAAATCTCCTGTATAAATAAGAGAAAGGTATCCCATCTGGGGAAGTGCAGCCATAGGTCCAAGACTGGCACACATTGGGCCCCGCTTGTCAGCCAAGGCACAACCTGCAGACACCTCATACGTAACAGAGTGAACTTCTGACCACAGGTACCTCTGACTTGATGCTTCTCCATCATATACCTTTCTGCTCCCAAATCAATTTGAACACAACATAATCAACAGACCAAGTTGATGGCAAACAAACATAATCATCCCATTTCAGAATATGGATGCTGGGTATGATAACAATATAATAGTAGCTATGGTTTACTCAACTTTTACCTAATGTCTGATATTATGCCACACACTGAAGATACATTCATTTACTATAACCACATAGAGAGTGCCATTCTTACTTTGCAGATCATGAAACTGAGGCTCAGTAACTTTTCCAGGTTCACATAACTAATTCCAACACTCAGTTTCCCAGTTCTCTGAATAGCCAGCGAGTACTGAAATTGTCCAGACTCTTCTGGTGTCATATACTATTCTAGAGCCATTTTTCCCTTGGAAAATCTTTCCTCTGAACATTTTTAGATTTATTTTCCTAAAGACTAAGGTACATGGCTGACTGACCATAAGATTTTCTTCCTTGGCATATTTAAATCCTAACGGACTATGGGTATTTGTCCCTAAGGTTCTGGTGGTTACCTTTATGTTAATCAATTCTTCTTTGGCTAGAGTTGAATGCAGAGGCATCATGATTTGCTGACTCCGAGGGAATAAAAATAATTAGCAAATTACAAATGCATCATGGGCTGCTTCAAACACAGTGAAGCTGTCCATTCTTTAAACATGGTTGGAAACCCATGTCCTTGCCAACACATCCTTTGAGTTAATTCTGTGACTTGTGTTAGCAAACCTTCGTCCATATTTTCTCTGAATTGTGGGCAGTGGGGATGGGCTATTAAAGGGTATGTGGCCTTTGTTTCATTACTTATTTGTTAATCTTTCTCCTGTTATTCTCACTTTTTTTTTCCATCTCACTTTTTTCAATTCTCTACTCTAGATGTCTACACAGTGTGTATCTTCCCAAAGGACATGATACTCCCTTTCTTTGTCACAAGCTTATACTCATTTTCTTAGGGAGAAGTTTGAACCTTGTTTAAAAAGTCATCAGATCTGACAAGAGTAGAATGGCAAGATAAGTTCAGAAAGACATCCATCTGACTGTAGATATTTGTTTATTAGAACAAGACCTGAGCAGAGCAGAGTTGAGAAATTGGAGAAAAATTGAGATTTGAAGAAAATAGAGATTGGTAGTATAAAAATAGAGATCTTCTATATTTTACAAAGTTGTCAGGTAGCACATATCATGTACAGACTAGTGCTTAGCAAAATGATATCTCCAGTTGAGTGTTTAGAAACCAGTTGGAGAAGTTATATGCTAATTAGTGACATCAACAGTTGTAATAAAATAAAAAATCCCAGGTTTAAATTTCTGTTCTGTCATATCAGTTTTCTGACCTGGAATTAGTGGTTTTCCCCTCTAATCTTCTGTTTCTTCATCAGTTCAATGGTGGAAAATAAGATTCCCGGTTGAGAGAAAACAAACAACCTTGTAGAATATTTTAAAAGGGATTCTTAAATGCACTTAAGAGTTGGGAAGACCTCCTTATCAATAAAGGGAAAATTTGTTTTTTAAAGAASCAAKTGTACAAGACTTTGTGRTTAAGCTTATCTCATTCCAAAATTTGGCACTATCAGTTGCTGGCTGTACGACACATTTTTACCTCTTTGAACATCAACTTTCCCATCTGTAACATGGGAATAATATTCACCTTCCTTATGGGGAGGTTTARGTGAGTTGGTGCATTTTAATGCATCCATAAAGTAGATTGCATCAYTTTTGTCATAGTAAATGAGTTCCTGGATGCAGTAGAGCTTTRCAAAACCTAGAAGTCCAGGTAACTGATGTTTTTCACCATTATTAAGGTTTTTWWAAAWWTTTTTTTATTAATTGCTCAATATCAATGTTTTGATGCTCACTAAATGAACTGCTTTCTTTCTTTTAGACACTCCAATTATAGGAGTCTTAGAAGTATCTACTTAGGTGAAGATATTTTTTTTTTCTAGATTTCACTCATTTATTTGTAACTTCTTATAAGATAGTGATTCCACTTCAAAACGAGGCAAAAACAAAAACAACAGCAACAACAACAAAAACCAACCAAATAGCAACAAAAACAAAATAAAACACGACCCTAAGGACAAAATGAAATCCAGAATACACAAGTACAGTATCCAGTATGTACATATGAGTTCATCCCAAACTGGAAGCATATGACAGGTAGACCTTGATTCCTAATTTGCTTCCAATTTCTTGTCAGAGAGGAATCCTGAAAAATTGGTTTGGGAGGAGATGATCGGTGGCAGAGCCTGAACACGTAATTGAATGCTTTTAGGAAGAGAGCCAAGATCTCAATCACCCAGCAACTTGGAGGCAGAGAGAGAGAGAGAGAGAGAGAGAGAGAGAGAGAGAGAGAGAGAGAGACAGAGAGAGAGGGAGAGAGGGAGAGAGGCTTTGGAGTCTTGGAGTTTCTTACCGTGGCGTCTTCCCCAGCATAGTGGTTGAGGACCCGGTGCCCACCAGGATGCCTTTTGGCCCAGTCAGTGACATTATAAACTTTTCGATGGATTACCAGCCACAGGTCGTTCTCCTGATTGTGCCTCTGGATCTCTTGCCAGGTGTACCTGTTGAGACTTTCCCTGAGCCCGTTGCTCTTGCCGTTYGCTTCCTGCTTTCCACAGCCATCCGTTTTCCCATTGGCTATTGGTTTCCCATTGGCCTGGTGCATCCCATCTAGGTGCACCCGACTCCTTCCTGCCAGGCTCCCTTTGTCCTCAAGCTTTTCTTCAAACTTCATGGTCATTAGATCCTTGGGATTATCTGGGTGTACTCCTAAACCTTCTAATCCTCTGCTTGGACCACAGAATGACTGCTTTTCTTCCCTTTCATTCCACTGAGGTATGATGCCTACACGGAAAACTTTGCAGCCTAGTTGCCTCTTCACAAATCTGATGGTGCGCCCCTTCCCAGCCGGTCCTTACTCTTGTCTGTTTTGAATCTTTTCTGCTCTGAGGGAGGCTAGGCTACCTTTCTCTCTTCACATTTCTCCCTGCTGGCTGGCCTCTGAGCAGCATCCTCATTCATCCTTAAATGTCCCTGGGCAAAGAGCCTTAGCCAATGGCAGACGAGCAGAATGTTGAGTCCCGCCCCAGGGGGTGGGGCTAAGCTCTAAGCAGTGATTCTCCTGCACTCTATCCGGGTGGGTTGGATTTTCCTGCTCTCTGACGTGCCTGTGGATGCAGACATTTATTTAGGTTTGTTAACTCGACATGTGAGCAAAAGCTTTCAAAATCTCCAGGGTGACACAATGTTTGGTGGACTTGGGAAATGTTCTTTTGACAGCTGTCATTTCAACTAAGGACTTTTAAATAATGTAAAACTTTTTTAAAAAGTTTTATTTTATAATACATACATATTTAAAATAGCAAAAAAAACCCCAACCACTAAAACACCCAATTTGCATAAGCCAGTTTTTTCTTTCCTTTTCATTTCCCTTTGAAAATTGCCTAAATCTTTCAACCCATTTGAAGGTAATAGCAAGGGATGTTTGCTAAAGCACATGATGGTTTACAAAGTCCCTGTCACATGTTTTAGCTCTTTTAATCCCACATCAATCTCTTGAGGGAGGTGGTGTTAGTGTCCCATTTTCAAACAAGAAAACAAGGTTCTGGAAGTCTCAGGTATCATGCTAGAATCACCCTGTGAATGAGGGCTAAACTGGTGAGTGAATTCAGGTATTCTGATTGCACATTCCAAGCTGTTTCATCTTGTTCTCATACTTAAGGGTTTTTGTATTTGTAAAACTGACTTGACCTGGTGGTTTAGAAATAAGACAGAAGCAATTCCAGGGTACAGAGTGATTTATTCTAATAATAAGGGACAGAGGGACTTATTTCAGTATAATTTATAATTCTGAATAATCAGAAGTGGCCTTAATGTTCATCAATGAGGAAGAAGAACTATATTAATTATGTATATAGAATGAATATTATACACATATTAAAAATAAATTTGTACAGAATTTTTAATGGAACAGATTCATGCTTGCAGTACAGCAAAGGAAAAATTAGTCAATAAACTTTTACCCAATGGGATGTGATTGGAAGAAAATGTTCCCAAATGTTGTCATTAGTTTTCTTTGGATTATAGTGCTATTGAAGATTTTGTTCTTTTGTATTTCTTGTGGTACTGCCAAAATTTTATTCAAATAAGTATGTTATGTTTATAACTTAGAAAATAGGTTTTTTTTAATTGGTGCATAGTTATAATACATAAACGTAGGATTAATTTGATATATTCATACATGAACTTAACATAATTTGATCAGTTTAATTCTCCAGAACTACTTCCCCTTTCCTTCCCCTGGTCTCTTTTCTCTACTCTATTCTTCTCCCTTCTATTTTCATGGGATCTCTCTTTTTCCTTTTATTTCTAGATTCCATATATGAGAGAAAACATATGACCCTTGACTTTCTCAGTCTGGCATATTTTGCTTAATGTGACGCTCTCTAGTTCCATCCATTTTTCTGCAAATGGTATGACATTGTTCTTTGCTTTGATGGAATAAAACTCCAAATATATATATATATATATATATATATATATATATATATATACATACATATATATCTCACATTTCCTTTATGCATTCATCTCTTCATGGTAGGGAACCAAAGAAAGAAAGATAAATCATAGATTTTGAAGCCAGATGGATCTGGAATTATATTTTGTTTTTTAAAACTTTATTTTATTTATTTTTATGTGGTGCTGAGGCTTGAACCCAGCGCCTTGCACGTGGTAGGGAAGCGTTCTACTACTGAGCTACAATCCCAGACCCTGGAATTGTATTTTAGCTTTATCAATTATTAGCTCTAGAACATGAATGAAATTACTTCTTTGCACTTTTGTGTCCCATCTGTAAGATGAATGAATAAGCACAATTTTCAAGATTGCAATGAATTAAAATAAATTCCATAATATTTACAGAAAATCTCAGTAGTTTTCATGATTTCTGAATTGGGATCATGTAAATCCAATATGCATCCATTCAGTATAGGTAAGTTATATGTATAAATTCATAGAAGTTTGAGAACAGCAACATGTTTGGCACTTTGATGGGGGCATCTCAGGGGCTTGGCTGGGGCAGTTTTCTAGAATTTCCTGTAAACTTGAGATAATGTGGTTTTACTGTGTCCTACCATGCAGAAACACTGGTGGGAGAGGTCTGTGTATGTGTGGGGGGTAGCTAGAGACCTTTATTTCTCTCATTTTTGAGTATAGTGAGGGCAGCTTTGTCTCCCTCTTCATGTGCAAAATGTCCAGAACGCTCAGAAAGTACTGGTAATGAGGTTTTCCTAGCTAAAGTCCTCAGTATCCTTGGCCCCTGTTAAATCTCCTTTTCAGAATGCATGTGAGTCTGTCAGAATGTGTCTGGGTATATGTGGGCTGTTCAGATCTTCCCCAAACATGGAGGGGGTCTGTCTCTGACACTGAGAGCTAAGTCTTCCTCCTGTCTTCCTCATAATGCTCCAATATGGAGGTTTAAAAGTTAACACCTTTCTTTAGATGTAATGCTCAAGATTGTTAAGATTACAAAAGATATGTTTAACCTAAAACTTCTTTTAAAGATAAGATTCTGAGATATTAATCCCACAAAGAGTTTTATGAAAAGGTGGCATATTTTTTTTTTTCCAGTGCAAGGTGAGCCATCCAGTCATTTATTTACAAATCCATTCTTTTAACCTGTATTGAGCAGCTTCTAAGGGCAGGGACTTCTGTGGGCTGGCACTGTGACTCCAGGCCCTTTTACTATCTTAAAAACAATTGAGTCTTTTTGGCCTGTCACTCAACAGGAAATCAGAATGGGAGTTACTCCGACTCTACCATGCCAATTATTTAGGAGATTCCAAGCAGAATCTCTGCATCAGACCAGTTCAACCTTCAGAATACTGGTGTGCCTACTGCTCAGCCTGGCAGTGGTTGGAGACATTATGGAAGTTGATCTGCCATTGAAGACCTTCTTTCCCATTAATTCAGTCAAGATTTACCAATAACTTAGTATTTTCTACTTTCCATGCTAGATAACCTAGAGATGAAAGATGGACAAAACTTTCTTTTCTTTGTATGGAAAGCTGCAGGCAAGAAACAAAATGAATAAAGAAAATGCACTCCCATCTCCATGCATTCAGTTTTTTTTTTTTTTTTTTTTTTTTTTTGTAGAGAGCTACATAGCCAGAATTCAAAATAAGGACCAATAATTCCCATGTTAGGAACTTGGACAAGCACCTCAACCTCTATGTTCTTCTGAGGTCTCATTTTAAAAACATGATAAAGCTAATAATACTTGTGCCTTATAGATTTTCCTTTGTAACAAGTAAATATGGTACTTCATGTATTTTTCTTTGTGACAAGTAAATATGTTGATTTATGTACAGTGCTGCAGAAAATACCTGAAAGTTCTCTATAAATGTTAGCTGCTGATACTATTCTTTTAAAAAAATATTTTAATATTCATATAATTATACTTATTTATAGGGTATGGTGTGATATTTCATTACATGCATACAATATAGAATGATCAAATCAGGATGATTGGTATATTCATCAAACTTATTTTTTTKTGTGTGTGTGCCACCATTCAAAATTCTCTCAAGTATCTATTTTGAGATACACAACTAATTGATGTCAACTATAGTTATCCTACCGTGCGATGAAACATTAAGAGGTTATTCCTCTTACCTAACTGTACCCTCGTGCCTATTAACCATCTTCTCTGCACACTTCCTCTCCGTGACTCTCCCAGCCCCTGTAACCACTATGCTACTCTTTACTTTAATGAGATGCATGTTTTAGTTTCTGCGTAGAATTGAGGATGTGTGGTATTTTCCATCTGTGCTTGAGACATTTGACAACACAATATCCTCCAGTTTCATCTATGAAGCCACAAGTGACAGGATTATATTCTTTTTTTCCTATGGCTGAATAATCCTCCATTGTGTACAGATAGCACATTTAAAATCCATTTTTTTTCTGTTGATGGGTACTTTGGTTAATGCCACTTTGGGGTTGTCAGGAATGGTGCTACAGTGAACATGAATGTTCAAATGTCTCTTTAACATACTTGTTTTCATTTCCCTTTCCACTACTAACCAGTAGTAGTGAAGCCAGAATTAGGCAGGCAGTCAGTTTAGATAGGTAAATGGAGTCAGGTCAGATCAAGGAAGCTAATTTGGGTGAGTCCAGAAATCTGGAGAGGGATTGAAATGCTAATTCCTTCAGAGCTCTTCTGCCACCCTTATCAAAATAACCTGTCCCTGCTCCAACCTGTTGCTAAGATAACCTGCACCCAGGATTGTCCCTCCCTACAGAGAGTTGTTAATTACACCCCCTTCCTGCCCAGGTCACACCACCTTGGCCCTTTGGCCCATCTGCTTYCCATATTTTGGCCATCCCACCGAGCATCTCCTGGTCCTCGTCACGTAGATAGGAGAAAGAGAGATAAAGGAAGAGAGCAGGAGAACAAAGGAAGCCTAAGACATATGAAAAGGAAGGACACCCTCACTTCTTGGGATGCCAGGATACCAGCTATGGCCCCCTTCTCCCTCCAGGGAGAAGTCTATGTTACTCCTTTTAAATAAACCCTGCTTTGTATGCTTGCCTCGGCGTGCTTCTCTAATGTTACACTTCAACTTGTGGGGGAGCAGAGCTCATCATCATTAACTGGCAGTGTCAGTAAGATTGTTGGATCATAGGGTAGCTGTATTTCTAGTCTTTGAGGAACCCCATACTGTTTTCCAT